CTCTAGAATGCGCATTGTATTCATACTTGTATTGCATATACTGCAGATGACGAAGCAGATAATGTTGTCAGAGGAGACGTCAAGTCAACGTGCGTGGGTGGGGGGGATGTCGCCATGACCAAATATAGCACAACAAATGATTTTATGACACAGGAGGAACGCAGTATGGGCAAGCTGGGTACGTTTGGGTTTCGTTGTGTTGTGGAGTGTTTCTCGAACCGGGATTCTATTCTACTATATATTGTACAATATTCTGTTGTTTTGTCTTGTTTTTTTTTTGTTTTTTTAGTTTTGTCTTTTTTTGTTTGTTTTTGCCTTGTTATTGTTTTGGTTATGTCTTCTTTTGTTGTGTTTTGTCTTGTCCTGTTTTGTATTGCATGCAAGTCCTTTCTTCGCATACCTACCACATGCTCACCTCACCCTTCCATATACCTACTCACCTACTTACCTACTTACCTACTTCCCTACTCACCTACCTACCACCTAACCTACTTGCCTACTTCCCTACTTCCCTACTTACCTGCTTCCCTACTTAGCTACCTACCACCTTACCTACTTACCTACTTCCTCCTTGTCGCTCGCAGGCTGGCCTGTCCTGCGGTCCTACATGGCCCATTGCGGAGGTGTGGCAGTGGTTTTGGGCTACTTTCTATTTCTCGTTTTGGAGCGGTCGACGTTTGTGGTCTCTGATTGGTGGTGAGTGTGTACCTCACATCTGTTTCTAAAAATAGAAATATCTGATTGGTGGTGAGTGTGTACCTCACATCTGTGTCTGAAAATAGAAATATTTGATTGGTAGTGAGTGTGTACTTCACTTCTGTGTCTATAAATAGAAATATCTGATTGCTGGTGAGTGTGTACCTCCACTTCTGTGTCTAAAAATAGAAATATCTGATTGCTGGTGAGTATGTACCTCACTTTACTTCTGTGTCTAAAAATAGAAATAGAAATACCAATTGGACGTTTAGCGTTCAGTTTCGGGTACTGCTTGGAAGTCATTCGACTGGTCGTATCTCCCTTTTAGAATTTTATGAGTATTCTAGTAGGTACATAAGTAGATATGCAATTCTATAATCATATATAGTTAATGAGTCATCTGGTAGGTATATAGGTAGGTATCTAGTGTAATCATATATACTATGTATACAATTATACATAGTTTATTAGTATTCTAGTAGGTATATATGTACGTATGTAGTTATATAAACTTTGTATACAAATGTGTATATATATATTTATATATATATATATATATTTATATATATATATATATATAGTTAATGAGTATTCTAGTAGGTAAACAACAATATTCTGCTCATGATATGGTCAAGTACACGCGGATATTCTTATTCGCACACATATTCATATTATTATATGTACACCCAGATACTCTTGCTTAGCACATATAAATTCCCTGCACACACATCTTCTCCTTCAAACGCATAGCCTGGCCATCTGATATACACTCAGATGCTCTTACTTACACACATATTTCGTTCACACACACCTTCTCCTTCACATACATAGGCTTGCCATGTGATATACACACAGATACTTTTTTCACACGCACATGTTCATATCATGAACCTGTACACACAGATTCACCTACTAACACACACACATACACTTACTGACACACACACTCTTTCCCCTTCACACTCATAGGTTGGCCATGTGATGCACACATTCACTTACTAACACGCACACATACACTTACTAACACACACACATACACTTACTAAAACACACACCCTTTCCCCTTCACACTCATAGGCTAGCCATGTGATACACACACAGATCCACTTACAAACACACACATACATACACTTACTAACACACACACAGATCCACTTACTAACATACACCCTTTCCCCTTCACACTCATAGGCTGGCCATGTGGGCGTCGGCGGAGACCGCCCCACCTGACGATGACATTGCGCGCGCGTTTAATCTGCCAGCCGCAAACACCCCAGAGGGGTCTCGTTACTACAGTTTAGGATACACTGGCTTAGCAGCACTCAACACTGTGTTTGTGTTTGGGAGGTGTCAGGTATGCTAACTGGGGAAACATGTGTGTGTGTATGTATGGGTGTGTATGTGTGTGTGTGTGTATGTGCGTATGTGTCTATCTCTACGTATGTGTGCGTGTGTACTTGCCTGTGTGTGTATGTATGTATTGGTGTATGTGCATTTATGGATATGTCTGTAGATTAGCAGCATGTCTAAGTGTTGTTAGTGGTTGTTGGTACGTGTGTTCTCCAGTTAACGATGCCACACGCTACGACAGCCAAGAGTATTTTGTGCGGTTTATATTTAGACGTGATATCCTGTTATCAAACAACTGCACTATAATAATTCCGATATTGGTATGCAGATAGGTCAAATGTGTATATATCTCATTACGCATACGGTTATCCATGAATGTTATATATATATATATATATGCTTTTGGTGCTTCAGTATTTCTAGCCTAGTCTGCTTTAGCCGCATTCATATCCATCGCGTAAACATAATACGGTACATTCTGGACTATCTCCCGCTAGCCTATATATGGGAATTGGTTGTTACCTATCTACCTACCTACCTGCGCACATACCTACACCAGCATGTACTTCACAACTGGCTGGTCTCATTAAGGCTTTCTCAGCGGTGTATGTCCGCAAGCACGCTCTAGTACAATTCACTCAGTGCTTTGGCTGGGTCTGCTATAACTTGCTTCATCTCTGCTGATATTCGGTGGTGCTGTTGGCCCCTCAACTGCTTATTTCGTCACTGCTGACATTTCACTGCCTTCTATAGAGACTGCTTATTTCCTCACTAGTGGCATTTTAATGTATTATTTTCCCATCAGTTGTGGGCACTCGCCGCGGCAAATTCGTCCAGAAAGTTGTTCGTGGGCCTGCTGAAAAGGTATGACATACACGTATATAAAAA